CTCATAGTCCTCTTGTTTCTCATCCTCCCAGTGTTGGGATTACAGACATGAGCAACTACTCCTGCTTCCTTATAGTTTTCATTGCTTTTGTAGTTTTAAACTTTTCCCCTAAAGGTTATGTAGAAAAGTGTACAAATCATAAATATGGATTCAGTGATTACAAATGGAGCACATTTAAATAAAGAAGCACCTCAGAAAATCCCCTTGGTCCCCCTTTCAGATCCTTACCCCACTTCCAACAGTGGCACCACTACCCTGACTTCAGACATGATAGATTGGTTTTGCCGTTTGAACTTCATGTAAATAAAACCATAAAATGTGCTTGTTTGTAGCTTCTTTTGCATCACACTCTATTATATATCATTACATGTAGTGGTAAGCCATTTGTTTTATGACTGAATGGTATAACTATAACTTTGTTTACCCATTGTAGTGTTGATGGACATTTGGATATTTCCAGTCCTTGGCTTTGACAAATTATGCTATTATGAGCATTCTTACATCTTTCGGTGAAAGCATATATGTCTCTCTATTGAGTAACACCTAAAAGGAAATTGCTAGGTCAGAGTATATGCATGTGTTCATTCAGCTTTTTGGCTGGAGTTGAGGTTTTGTGGATGAGCACTTGCCTGGCATACACAAAACCCTGGGTTCAATCCCTAGCACCCCCCACCCCACCCCTGAAAAGTCAGCATTTTTGTTGTTGTTACTCTTTTGTTTGATAGGCATTGCCCCCAAATGTTTTTGTCAGTGTATCGTCTGCCTGCAGCGTGTGAAAATTGCATTTGTTCTCTGTCTTTACTGCACGTGGTGTGCTGTCTTTCAGAATCTAGCCATTCTGTGGTATGTAGAGACCTGTGTATTCACAGGCTCTTCCATGCCATTTCCTTCAGAGTGATAGAAAGACCTGTCATCTCCACGTCACTCACTCTGTACACTACAAAATGTGAAGAACAGCAGGCAGGCTTCAGAATTCAGCAGGCCTTGAACCTGCGCCTGACTTTTCTCTCTTTGTGTTATAAGAAATGGGAACATATATAAAGTCCCAGCCTGGTGCCTGGCATAGAATGAGTACTCACATGTTACCATGTTACCATGGGTATTAGCATTTGGAAAGTAACACATTATTAAAGTCAATTAATTTTTTTTTTAATTTTATGTATATGAATATTTTTCCTGCATGTAAGTGCACCCATGTGTGAAATGCCTACAGAGGTCAGAAGAGGGCATCTGATCCTCTGGAACTGGAGTTAAGGCAGTTGTTAGCTACCATGTGGATGCTGGGAACTGAACCCAGGTCCTGTGCAAAAGGGCCCAGTGCTCTTAACCTCTGAGCCATCTCTTTGGCCCGTATGGTCAATTATTTTAATATGGAGCCTTTCTCTCTCTCTCTCTCTCTCTCTCTCTCTCTCTCTCTCTCTCTCGTTTTATAAAGTATTGCTCAGAAGGAAAAAATCCTGGTATAAATAGGGGGGAAAAAAAACAAAGAAGTATGACTTGGATGTGCAGCATTCTTTGGGGTACCATATTGTCAGGAGTTGTTGGAAGTCATAGCTCCTTTATTAGTAAGAGCTGACCTTATATTTGAAGGAAAATGTCCAAATTTGGATAATTTAATACAAAGCTAAGCTCAAGGGTTTTGCAAAACAAAATTTTGTGAGTAGAAATGAACTGGAATATGGTAGTTCTTCAAATGTTTCCCCCCAAGCCTTTCAATAACAGAAGAGCAGAGACACACCGGTAACGGTAATATTTCTCCCCGGTAAGTTTCAATAAAGGAAACAATGCTTCAGTAGCAGGAAGTCAGTTTGGAGAATTAGTGTTCTTAGTGCCACTGAAGAAAGAGAAGGTAGGAATTTAAAATTTTTTAGCTTTTTTGGGCTGGAGAGATGACTCAGCTGTTAAGAACACTGACTGTTCTTGCAGAAGACCCGGGTTCAAATCCCAGCACCCACATGGCAGCAAACAACTGTCCTTAACTCCAGTTCCAGGGGATCCGACAGTCTCTTCTGACCTCTGTGGGCATTGCACAACACGGGTGCACTTACCTACATGCAGGCAATACATGCATACACATAAAATAAAAATAATAAGAATTTTTTTTTAAAAAAAGTTTTAGCTTTTCAAGTGGTGGCCTGAATAAAAATAATGTACTTTATTGCAAGAAAGAGACTGGGAGCTATGTGCTTTTGTGCCTAGTTCTTACATATCTTAGTGTGTATAAGGACTTCAGTGTCTGGTTTGCATGAGAAGATGGGGAATTGAGCAGCGTGGGAGTTCCTGGATATAGCTTAGCTAAACAGTCAAAACTATTTTGGGGGCGGTGAGGGGGCTCAGTGGGTAAAAGCACTTGCTATCAAGCCTGACGACACTTATAAAGAGGTGGAAAGAGAGAACCAGCTCCACAAAATTGTCCTCTGACCTCCACGTGTTTGCTCTCGCTCTTGTTTTTTTTGTTTTGTTTTGTTTTGTTTTTTTTTTTAAAGAACCAACAATATTTAAAGTTGGATTTAACTTCAGTGTGGTTTGGTAGGCATGATGGTGTTTGGATGGTCATTGGGCAATCCCCAAATGCATTTTCTGGAAAGTGACTTAGAAAGCAACAGGCTTACTGGAGATGTTGGACTGAAGTATCGTTACATATAATACTGGACTAGTCTACACTGTAGTATGTGAACCTCAGTGAATGTGGAACGGCTGCTAATTTTGATAACGGACTTAATACCATATTTTATCAAGTGTCAGTCACACATCTTACCTACGCTTTAACATCTCTGAAATCCAGATGTCATATTCAGTGGTGGGTCGTAGTTTGACAGCATTCTTCTTTCTGGTATATAATATGGCATAAAGTGGCTTATATGACATGTGTGAAAATAAGTTATGCATTAGAGTTGGTGAATACAGTAAAATATAGATTGACAGTTTGAATTTGACAACCTCAGACTAGGTGATTCTAAGTGGTGTATTTTGGCTTCCTGATAGATTCCTAAGGGATGAACCTAGTTCTTATGTTGGGATTTGCTTAGGATTCCAAGTATAGAAAGTGCTCTGCAATTCTTTCAGAAAGATTTTTTAAACTTTTTTAAAATTTATTTTTATTTTAGGTGTATGAGTGTTATGCTTGCATGTTTGTAAGTGCACCTGTGTTATGCAAGTGCCCATGGAGGACAGAAGAAGGGGTTCAGATTCCCTGGAACTGGAGTTAAACAGACGGTTGTTAGTGCCAAGTGGGTGCTGGGATACAAACCCAGGTCTTCTGCAAGAAGAGCTAGTGCTCTTACTGCTGAGCCATCTCTCCAGTCCCCAAATTTTTAAAATCTCTGTTCAGCAAATCCTGTCCTTTAGTGGTATGAGCACTCTAATCTGGTGCACTTCTAGACACTCTCACCCTTGCCCCAACATAACCTCTATCGGCCCTCCACATTCTTCTAGTTCCCCTTTCAGGACTTTTATGTGTACATTTAGTGGGTTTTTTATTTTTTATCTTTATTTATTTATTTTTTTGGTCTTTTTGAGTCAGGGTCTTCCTGTGGCCCCAGCTGGCCTGGAACTCACTATGTAGCCTGGGTTGGCCTTGAACTCACAGAGACCTGCCTGCCTCTGCCTCCCAAGTGCTGGGATTAAAGGTGTGCACCACCACGCTCAGCCTGCATTTATGTGTTTATGTATGCCCTATCAATTTCCACTCACTTGTAAATGGCATCATTGTGTATTCTGGGCTCTACAGCTTGGTATTGTTTTGTGTTTTACTCACTTTAAGGTTTTTTTCTGTGTTACTGCATGTAAGTCTGTGCTGACTTTTCTTTTGGTGCTTGTAATAGCATTCCTTATAAGAATGAATCAAGTATTCTATTTGTTTTATGCACAAAGAGCACCAGTGGGGTTGCATTTAGAGTCTGGCTGTTCTGGTCCTCAGATTTTTTTTTTTTTTTCTCTAGTAGTACTGGGTTTTTATAACCAAATACTATAAATTAATCATTCTGATTCCTCTTTGTGTTCATAAAGGCAAAATGTTCCATTTCGGAATTAGCTTCTTCTTTCTGTGGTATCCCTGTGATTTGTTGTCATTCCTGAACACTTATTGGTGGGAATGTTTATTAGAGTTTCTTCTCCTCTGCCTAGACTGTACCTATGTGGGAAAAAGAGTTTTACATACCTGGATATACTTCCTATAATCATAGGTGCTAGATAAGTTTGCAGCTCCTTTCTGCTACCCCTACCTGTCCCAGAATGGCTGTTTTGTGAATGCCCTCCATTCCGAGAAGCCCATTCTCAGTCTGTGCTCTGGGAGACTGCTGTCTTTTCATAAACCTCCAGGCTCCTGGTGAGGCCTTCTTTTCTTCTCTGCTCTGTCTGCCTATCTTCCCTGCCTTTCTGGCATCTGGGTCCTTGCTTCTGTTGTCCACTTTTATACCCCATTCTGTCCTGTCACCCCTGCTATGACTTAATGTATAAGCAGTCTTTCCTCCTCAGAAAGACCAGAAGGTGGGAGGCATAAGGAACATTCTCCCGCTCAGCATGTGGGTGCCCATGTTCCCAGCCCTTAGGCAGCCCTGCCTGTGGAATTCCAGCTAGATGTCTGCCAGCCCCTCTATTCAGGAGCCACAGTACACATGCATCCTGTTGATGGATAATTGCCTTTATGTTTGGTAAAGTAGTGGCTTGGCCAAGGGCAGCTGAAGGAGAAGTGCTTTTGAAAACAAGGGCATTAGCAAAATTAATTTAAACGGAAAGTCAAGACTGAAAACCAACTACTTTTAAATGAATAAGTAAAAATTAGGTTTTTAGTATCAGCAAATATTTCTGGAGGCTGTTCAAGGATGGCTGAAACCATGGTGCCCTTGCAGAAGTGCCTTACTGCTGCTCTCTCCCTTACAGTTTTCCCCAGACTAAGTTCCTACACGTAACAGGTTAAAGCTGTAGATGCATTTATATGATCCTATGTCTTGAGTGATTGGGTACTGTTCTTAACTTATTCTGGATGTCTTTATCTATAGCCGAGTTACATCAGTGATGTGGGGCCCCCTGGCCGAAGCTCTCTGGATAGCATTGAGATGGCCTATGCCCGGCAGGTGAGTATACCTTTAAGGAAGATTTCATCTAGGAGAAGCCTGTGGTCCTCTGGGGTGTCAGAGCAAATAATGACTTCACATGAAAGTCAAACCTGAAAGCAGTGGGCTTCTTGATCACAGGATTGGTTAATATTTTACTGTGAATGCCACTGTAGAATTCTGTTAAATGGGGTAATCAAATGACTCAGACTCAATGTGGGGAAATTGAAATCTGCCCTCTCCACTGACTGGGCATTTCACTTTGCATTGTTGGCAGTAACTTACTGGGGAATGAAGCCTTGAGTAACTATACTGCATGGCAAATGGAGTCCTGTATTAATTGAATTACCTGGTTGGCTAATGGTTTGGTCAGAAATCCTTCTTTTACCCTTGTTGGATGGGGTTTTCCAAATGCTTTCTGCCTTGGTAAGCACAGTATGCTGAGCTCAACTTAGTGTTGGAGATGCTCCCCATGTGTTGAGGGCTGAGCTCCTGGGTGCTGGTCATAAGCATGCAGATGATAAGAGTGGATTGAGATGCTTTATGGTGAGCAGGCACTCTGTTGAGCTAAGTGCAGTACATACCTAGGGTTGATGCTGGGAATAAACCAGGGCCAGCCAAACGAGTATTTCAGTCTAATCGTCACATTCCTCCGTAAAGCCTCAAGACAGTGGATTGTCCTGCATGGCTTAGCCGTGACCAACTCCCTTGACCCTGAGAGGACACAGGAGCACATCTCTACACTGCTTGTTCTCCTGCCATCCTGCAGTGAGGTGCTTAGGGCAGAAAACAGGTGGCAGCTATAGAGGGGGCAAGGGATTATGAGACACTTTTAGATCCTATGCTCTTTACCAGAGGACTCCATCTACAGCTACCAGCAAATAAGTTAATGAAATTCTTCATTAACTGAAAGTCATGTAATAGCAGAAATCCTGATTAACCCTTGTTGAGAGAACTGTCCTAAATGCTTTTTAAGTATAGATATATTTAAAGTGAGAGTTAAAAGCACAGAGTGCACTCCACAGGGCAGGAGCAGAGTGGAGTTTCACAGTCTGCCCTTCATTCCACATTGCTACTTCAAACTCTAGGCAGCCAAAGCCCCTCTCAGCTTCCCACAGACGACATCTCCCTCCTTCCAGCTCCATATTTCACCGCTGGTCGTCATTTCCTTCTCTGCTTTTGGATCTCTATTTTTCCTAAATTATTTCCACACTGACATCCTTTGCATTTCACCTGGCCGACTCCCTTCATTACTGCGGCCACCACCAGGTCAGACCCAACAAATTAAGAGCTTCACAAGAAAGAAATTATGTAGCTTCTATATCTGTGAAGCTAAAACTCCATAGAATTTAACATTTTGCAGCACTTAGTATGCAATAAAGTCAGTTATCTGTTGACACGGCTTTTTTATCATATGTTGAATGCTGTGCCTTCCGAAGGGAGGCTCCTAAGACATGCTCATTGAGTGAATAAATACTGCGTATGGTTCAGAACCCTTTAATCTTTGCAACAGCCCTGGAAGCTAAATGACACCCCCCATTTAAAGTAGAGAAAGCTGAGGTTCCATGGGGTCACAATTTGCCTAACATCAGTTTAATCCTCAGTAGAGCAAGGACTTTAAAATACAAAGGAAAGTCTTCCCCACAAGTAGAACTTAGGCCTCATTATTTTAATATTTTATGACCGTATCCAAAGTAAAAATTGTCTTATAATTCAGGTATCATATCAAATCATGGTTATGGTTCTTTCTTTGGTGGTTTTCTTTCTGTATTTTTATTTTTGTGTGTAGATAGGTCAGAGGACAACCAGTGGGAGTTGGCCTTCTCCTTCCACCATGTGGGTCCCAGGGATTTAACTTAGGTTGTGAGTTAACAAACACCTGGCAGCAAACACCTTTTCCATGGAGCCATCTGGCTGGTCCCCAGAGATTCATTCCAGAAGTAGATATTTCAAATGTGTAGCCTTATTCTAATGCACATGAAGGGAGGCTGCAACCTGACTCAGTCCACAAACCCTGCGGGGGGGGGGGGGGGGGATGGGATTTAGTCCTCTGACCAGAATTTTAACAGACTTCAACATGATTCTTAGAAAGCAGCAACCACATTGTTCTGTGGTCCCGTCTTCCTCTTTGGCCACAGATCTGGAAAGTTGGCCTATGGATGACCCAGCTACTTTGAGAAAGGGAAGGCTTGCAGAATCTTCTGCTGACCATTTGCTGGCTTCAGAACTACTTCAGGAGATCTTAAAAGGAATTGAGAATAGAAATCATGCTGTTTCTTTGCTTTCTAATATTTCAGATTTATATCTATAATGAGAAGATTGTGAGTGGGCACCTGCAGCCTAACCTCGTGGACCTTTGTGCTTCCGTTGCAGAGCTGGATGATAAGGTAGTGCCCAGAGCTAACCTGAGTGAAAGTGGAAGTCCAGTGTCCAGATGAAATTAGCAGCCTGCTGGCTTGGTTGCAGTTTACTAGAAGGACTGTTCTGTGGAATAGAAGTCTGCTTTTTCAGAGTTTTATTTTATATAAATTTGGAGTGATTGTTTTCATGATGGCTTTTAAAAAATACATCTTCAAAAGGCCCAGCCAGGATCAATTAAAAATCACTACAATGCTCAAGCTCTCTGTGGGCTCTGACTCCTTATTCACTGTTCCCTCCCTTAGACAACCAACAGACTCTCTTTAAAGAGCCAAACGGCAGAGGTCATGTCGCTTGTACAAGGTCCTTGAACTTGACTTGTCCATTCCTCTGAATCCTTTCCTTCATTTTTATTCTCCTTGTACTCTTTTTCCCTGGCCACCTTTCTCCTCTGGAAAGAAAAGATAATGGGGCGGAGGTTATTGGAAGGAGAGGTAGATGGGATGGGGGTGTTAGAAGGGAAGAGGGATGGGGCTGTGGTGTTGGAGGGTTCTGGGAGAAAGGCAAAATGGAGCAAAGGCTAGCTAGTACAGGAGCAAAAGTACCCATACACCAATTTTGTTCATTTTTTCAAAAATGTATCTTTTTCCAGTGGTAAAAATATAAGTCAGTACAAACAGATTGAAAGAAGAAAGTAAGTTCAGCAATCATATCTGGTTGAATATTATACACAGCTTTTACTTTTGAAGGAGACCATGAAAACAGGCTTTTCTGTTTGGCATGTCTCTGGTGGTGGTGTCTTAGAATATTACCAAGGGGTCAGGGAACACATTTTAAGGAGAAACAGCCAGGGGTGAGGAGGCCCACTGGGTAGGGCAACACAAAGGAAAGAATGCTGCTCCTTCTTGGAGGTACTTTTGGAAAGAGTGAGTGGGAGGGAAAATGGGAGGCTGTGGCACTTGCTCATAAAACAGGGCTGCCACGGTGGCCCCAGAAAGCTGCTGGGAGGACAAAACCTGTATTATTTAGGTTAAACTCTTATTTTAAGCCTTAAGAAACTTAAAGAACCCTGTAAGGACTGAGAGTTAACACTTTCCTTTAAATTCTTAGAGCTCTAGATGATTATAAATGTATTCATGCTCTCTTAAGGCATAACCCACTGAGATTCAGTTCTTGTTACTTTCATGTTCCAGTAATGATGGAGGAGGCTTGTCAGGCCTGGCATGGTAATTGTTTGAAAGCCAGCTTCAGGCAGGGCAGAGGTGCTTACCAGTAGACAGAACTCTAGTGGTTGACAGAGCAGAGGCCCATCCACACCAGGTTTGGGCCTGGGTAGTCGAAGATAGAAGACTTTAACTTTAACCCTTTCTCATCCTGCCTGCCATTGAAGTCAGAGCCACATAATTTCTCCATCCCTACAGCATTGTCACATGCAGTCTCATTTGTATGCAGAGCATTTCTGACATGTGGGCCATGGTAAAACAAATGACAGATGTGTTGTTGGCACCAGCAACTGATGCCCTGAAGAGCCGAAGCAGCGTGGAAGTACGCATGGAGTTTGTCAGGCAGGCCTTGGGGTACCTTGAACGGAGGTAAGATTACTGAAGTACAGTAGGTGCCGGCTTTCAAATACTCTAAAGTCAGCTGTTTCTCAGGTTTTTTGTAGTCCTGGGGCTAAGTGTGCTATAGCTGGGTGCTTTAAACCGACAGTAGCTGAGATAATCAGAAACCATGGAGCCATCTGGCTGGTCCCCAGAGATTCATTCTAGAAGTAGATATTTCAAATGTGTAACCTTATTCTAATGCACATGAAGGGAGGCTGCAACCTGACTCAGTCCACGAACCCTGCACCTGGGGGGGTATTCAGTCCTCTGACCCGAATTTTAACAGATTTCAACATGATTCTTAGGAAGCAGCAACCACATTGTTCTGTGGTCCCGTCTTCCTCTCTGGTCCCTGCCTGTGGCCTCCTCTCCTAGGACTGCCTTGCTTCTGTTCCTCAGGTATTTGCAAGACTGGACTAGTGATTAGCTTTGGTGTATTGGCCACAGACTGTCAGGACTGTTTCTACAGCTAATGAAGTTGTACATGGGAAGTGATGGCAAGGGGGAGCTCTGTTGACATTGCTTTTTAGTTCTTTGTCACTTAACACAGAGACATGCTGGTTAGTTCGTCATTTCTTGGGTCATAATCCTATTCCCTCATGTGGTTCGGCAATTACTTCTCAGATTCCTTTTTTTTTCTTAGAGAATTTTAACTCTTTCTCTGGCAGTATGACTACTTTGAAACCTTAGGAAGACCCCTCTAACCTTACTTTCCACTGGCCCTACCCAGTTAATCCTTTAGTCAGGGCCTTGCACAGCTACTGAGGCCTGTGCTTTGTGCCTGGACTTTTTTGCCACCTCCTTACTAATCCATTGGTTGCTGAAGGGTTTGTGGCTATGTCTTTGTGCCCTGACTATTGTCTCCTTCATTAATAGGGCCTGTGCTATTCATCCTTCTCTGGAGCTCTGAATGAGCCAACAAGGATTCTGATGAGTGTGCAATAGACTCTATTTTAGAGTCAGGATGCTGGGTGTCACCCTGCTGGCTTGAGAAGAGAAAGCCCAATTGAGTACACTAGCTAAATTGCAGCCCTTTGCCACAGCCTCTGTACCTGCGATGGCCTTGTGGTGTGGTGACTCTTTGTCAACAAAATAATATTTCATTAAGAAATTCCCTTGTGCTGGGCGTGGTGGTGCACACCTTTAATCCCAGCACTTAGGAGGCAGAGGCAGGCAGATTTCTGTGAGTTCAAGGCCAGCCTGATATACATAGGGAGTTTCAGGATAGCCGGGGCTACAGGGAGACCCTGTCTCAAAAAGACCAAAAAAAAAAAAGTTTCCTGTGGAACGATGGCTCCATGGTTCAGAGCACTGGCCGTTCTTGAAGAAGACCAGGTCCAATTCCCAGCACCCACATGGCAGCTAATAACCCTCTGAAACTCCAGTTCTAGGTGATCCGACACCTTTTTCTGACCTCTGTGGTCAATGCACAACACGGGTGCACATACAGGCAATACACTCATACACGTAAAATATTTTAATTTTTGAAAAAAGTTCCCTTGATGTAACTAAAGGAATTCAGACATGATACTGCAGGGAACTGGGTTTTATATCAAATACTATGTTAATTATACCTTAGCTGGATGAAAAGAACACCATCTAGTGTGTACTCACTAGCCTCCATTCCTTTGTTAAGAGAAATCTGAACCTCCAGAGGTTTTTCTTTATTCCTCTAGGCTTGTGTGTAAAGATTTCATAAGCTAATTCTACAGGGGTAGGAGAGGTGGCTCAGCAGTTAAGAACACATACTGCTGTGCAGAGGTCCTGAGTTTGCTTCCCAGCACCCGTATTGTCAGGTGGCTCAGATGCCTGTAACTCCAGTTTCAGCAGGACCCGATGCCTCTGGCCTCCAGTGGCACTTGCACTCACATGGACGTACCTACATACACACATACGCACATACATAATTAAAAATCATCTTAAAAAAATAATTGGTCAGGCTTTAACTAAACTTTTGTGATCAAGTGTTGATGGTACTGATTTATGACCACAAAGAACTTAATATATGTAGTAATATTTACTCAGTATTAGCCAGCAAAGTATGAGCCAGAATTTCTTACACCATATAGAAATCTTAAGGACTTTTTACATGTGTAAGTATGTATGGTGAACCTCATCCTTAAACCATCACTTCAGCTACCAGGCTGTGTTCCTTTGTTGATATCTCTGCTAAACTATCTTATTTCATTTTATTATTTCAAAAATTTATGTGAATCTTTGCAATTTTCATAGAATATAATTTGATGATATTTAGATCTTCATTTCCCCCCCCCAGCCCAATTCAGTGTGTTCCACTGTATACACAACACGGTCTGTAGAGTCTGATTTGTGTTCCCACATGTATATCTCATTTTATTGTTTGTTCCGTTTATTTTTATTTATTTTTATTTTGTGTGTATGGTGTATTACCTGCATGCATAAAAGTGCACCCATGCATGCAATGCTTGCAGAGCCAGAAGAGGTGTCAGATCCCTTAATCAACAGACAGTTCTTAGCCACCATATGGATGCTGGGAACCAAACCTAGGTCCTCTGCAAGAACAGCCAGTGCTCTTAACTACTGAGCCATCTCTCCCAGTCCCTAGTTAAATTGAACTTTTAAAAATGCCTTAAAGTTTTCTGTCCATGGTTGCCAAAGTCTTTTCTTCATTCCCTCAAGTGCCATCAATTTCTCATGGCATTCTTTTCAAAGTTTCACTGTCACCTTTTGATAAGTGGACTATTTTAGAACAACTGTGTTCAGTTTTACAGTATTTCTGTAGGTGCTATTCTGCTGACAGTATACACACAATATTTCAAGTTGTGGAATGTGCCAGATGGCAAAGTAGACCTAGTCCCAAATATTTTTTTACATATAAGGCAAAAAATGTTGAGAAAATATAGGGTTAGCTTGTCTCTTCCCTTCCACATTCCAAGGTTTGAGGTAGGATATGTTTTTCTTAGTTCTCAGAGAATTTAGGCATCTTTAATGTAAGCACCTGCCAGCACACAAGTTGTTTGAATGAAAATTGGAAGAGATGGGCTCAGGCATCTGTTTGTTCTGGCTGCCATGGGAGCTCTCTTTTACCCTATGCTTTTAAAGACGTCCATGATGGGGAGATCATTACATTGGTCAAGTTAAATTGTGCTTCTTTTCCATCACAGAAACAATATATGCTTCTTACAGGAATTTTGTAAGGTGCCAAAAAGAAGACCTAAAGAAAAAGAAGGGAGGCCCTGTTCTCTTGTTACAGTTTCTTCCCTTTCACCATAGTATTTTTTTAATTTTAATTTTTTTCCACAGTTATGATCCAAGTATATATAATATGTAGGTTTTTTTTTTAATTTATGTGTATGAGTGTATTGCCTGCACCCGTGTCGTGCAGTGCCTGTGGTGTCAGTAGAAGGTTATGGATTCCCCTGGAATTGGAGTTACAGATGGTTGTTAGCTGCTGAAGTGAATTTTAGACTAGGAAAATGCTTATGCTGCATAAACATATCTAAACGCAGAGATAAATTGCACCCTGGAGTAGAGGTAAGTATTTTAAAATTTTATATTCTTAATAGGAACCATGTTGTAATTTAACAATTTTAGCTTACATAAGAGCTTACTTACAAGTCAATTTGATATCTAGTAAGTCGCTATTTAATAATGGTTCCCTTAGTATTAAACATAACCACACAGCCATCTCTCCAGTCCTATAGTATGTAGTTTTATATATCTTGATTTCTAACTCTGCTATCATTTTTACTAACTGCATCAAATTCCATCATCTGTTTTCTGTAAGTGACCTTTAGTTTGTTCTCTTTCTCTCTATCTCCTCCCTGCCTGCGTGCTCTCACTGTATTTAACTTGGTATTGGTGTTGTGCATCTTTGTGCTAATGGAACATCAGACATTTTTGAGGCAATCTGTTTTGGAAAAGAAATGTTTAGAAAGTTCTTTATTGTAGGCCAGTTGTGGTGGCGCACGCCTTTAATCTCAGCACTCGGGAGGCAGAGGCAGATCTCTGTGAGTTCAAGGCCAGCCTGGTCTACAAAATGGGTTCCAGGACAGCTCAAAAAGACCAAAAAAAAAAAGTTCTTTATTGTATTAGCTGAATATTTGGATGATTGTAACTTGGATCATTTAATGTTGGTGCAAAGCACTTAAAAAGAGACATACTGAGGCTGGAGAGATGGCTCAGCGGTCAAAAACACTGGTTTTTCTTGCAGAAGTCCCGGGTTCAAATCCCAGTACCCACATGGCAGCTAACAACTGTCTGTAACTCCAGTTCCAGGGAATCCAACGGCCTCTTCTGTCCTCACAGGCATTGCACGACACGGGTACACTTACCTATATGCAGGCAATACACTCATACACATGAAATAAAAATAATAAATAAAATGTTTAAAAAAAAAAAAAAGCTGGGCATAGTGGCGCACGCCTTTAATCCCACCATTCGGGAGGCAGAGGCAGGCGGATCTCTGAGTTCAAGGCCAGCCTGGTCTACATAGTGAGTTCTAGGATAGCTGGGGCTACAGGGAGACCCTGTCTCAAAAAGACCGAAAAATAAAAGAGACATACTGGCAAGTAGGGAAGTGAGAAGACGGGAGCATTTTGCAGTCAGAAAGGACCATCAATGGAAACTAAATTCACATGACCTCTCAAGCATTGCCTCACAGATTACTTATTAATTACAAAGAGATTAATGTACATTATCATGGGCTAGTAATATAATGGAAAGATCTGGTCAACACCTGATAGCTAAGTGAGCCATATCTAGTAGTTACCAATATCAGACCCTTGTGAGACTTGCTGGGAAGAATTACTCAGGGAAACCATACAGTTATTGGCAACAACTGGAGTCTGAGTTGAATCATGGAGAAGGATGTAGCTTGTGGAACATTCTATCAGGCAGCTGTCCTGGGTTTTCTAAATAAGGTGGGTGTCATGAAAGGTAAACAGGTAGGAGAACTCCTTAGGTTAAGAGGAATGAAAGTGGTATGGCAGTTTGTTGCCTTGTATTTCATTAATTGGATCTTTGATTTAGAAAGAAAGCCACCTGTTAGGCCTATTAACTCATGCCTATAATTCTAGCACTTGGGGGCGGAGGTAAGAGGGTCACTGGGTACAAAGCCAGCCCTAACTACATCATGAGTTCCAGAATAGCCTGGGCCAACAAACAAAACAAACAAAAAGGAGAGAGGGTGTCCTAGTTTTTTTTTTTTCATTGCTGTGACAAAATACTCTGACCAGTACTAACTTAGAGAGGAAAAGGTTTATTTGGCTTACATCTCCAGGGTCACAGTTCATCAGAGAGCCCAAGGTAGGAACTCAGGGCAGGAACCTGGAGGCGGGAACTGGAGCACAGGCCATAGAGGAAGGCTGCTCCCCTGGCCCTTGCTCAGCCTGCTTGCTTATATAACACAGGCCCACCTTCCCAGGGGTGGCACCACCCACAGTGGGCTGGGTACTCCCACATCACTCAACAATCAAGATGCCCCATGGACATGGCCACAGGCCAGTCCAATGAAGGCAATTCCCCAATTGAGGTGCCCTCATCACAACCCAGGTGTGTCAAGTTAACACTAAAGCTATCCAGCACAGAGGGAGAGACAATATGAAATCAAGTCAAGTCCCTGACTAAGAAACTTGACTATGGCTTGCTTATATTTAGTAATAGCTTGTTAATGTTCACTTTCCAGGTATCACAGTATTTAGGCTGGGTAGGAAAATACCCTAGCTCTTAGGAGCTACATGGTTGAACTATTTGTAGGGGAGATAGCCCTGATTTTTATAATTAAAAATTTGGTTCGGGAAAAACAACATATTTGAATGTGTGTTTGGGAGTAGTATAGGGTATGTAGAAATAGGAAACACATACGTGAACCCACCCCATCAGTAACAACTGGTCGATCTAGGTAAAGGACTATCTTGACTTTTTATGTGTTTGAAATTCCTTAAAATAGAAAGTTTAATAAAAAGCAAACTTGACTAGAACATTAGGCTATGAGCTGGAACAATTATTCTGTATCCACCCTTAAAGCAGTTGAAGTCCTCAGCTGGAATTCTTTGGAATACCCACAGCAATGAGAAGTCCTTATAGTGATAATGGAATTTGCTGATTAAGCATGAGCTGTTTATCTTCTGTATGAAGTTTTAAATCCAGGCCACACCCTGTAGAGCTCACAATCTAATGTTCTAGATAGGGACATAGATGTGTGTAATACATGTTGCCAACTTTCCTTTTTTTCTTTTTTGTTTGGTCCTTTTGAGACAGGGTCTCCCTGTAGCCCCAATTTTGAATCATGTCATGCCACTGGGAGGAAGCGTAGCTGGGTCTG